AGTGTACGCGAATTTCCGTGGAGTTGGAACTATGCATCTGCCTGCGATACATTTACAAAGTTATTGAGCTAATTATCCGAGCCGACTCTTCTTTGTCGCGTGAAATGGTTAAGCATCTCAATAAGGTATACATTTTATCATGATTATCATATACTAAAATTTTTTATGGGTTTCTCCATAAAGAATGTAAAACACCTTTTTATAAGCAGTTGCTCCCAAAATATTCAGTGTTACAGGTCAAAGGTGTACTTTATATATTACTTTAGCTGGGTTGATACTGTGACATTCATTATCCAATTTTATTTCTTTGAAGCTTAGTCTGTGTTTTGACTAATTCAGGAGTATTTCTACAGTCGAACATCTTTTACTGGAGAACAGCATTGATTAATGGGGAAATTCTGCATCATCGTTTTAATTCTCAGTTTACAGGTTGAGGAACGTGTGTTAGAAGAGTTTGCTTGGAGCTTAGATTCCCCACTATGGCCTAGTTTACATCGACGAGCCGATGACGTACCATCAAGTCAGGCAGTGTCGTTGGAAACCGTAGAAGGTTATTCTATGAGGCAGCCATCTCTTTCACAGCGTTATACATTGTCACCCGTCAAACCACTTGGTAGGTTTTATAGAGTTTTTATTTTTTTTATTTCGTTTTTTTTCGTAATTTGACTTTATTTGGCAGAATAATTTTGTTTTTCTAAGCAGCAAAACGTCGACTTGAATTTGATGACGATGATTCATCATGTGTTGCTGCAAAACGGCGAGCTCCGGATGGTGAAAGCTTAACACCGACATCTGCAACATTACTATTTTTCCGTAAGGTGCGCTTGTTTTTGAAATTTATTATTCAGCGAAGTTTACGAAACGTTTACATGAATTATCATTGAGAATGGCCACGACGCATTTTGTCTTCAAAATGAGCCGTCTTATATCGTAAAACCTGGTAATACCATTCCCTGTCAATCGATAGAAATTAGGAACAAATAAGAGAAAGTAGAGAATTTAAAAAAGAAAGAGTAGTTTCATCAATATTACATTATTAAATAAGAAGTGAGTAGTTTCCAATTAAATATATCTAGCACTTTCTTTTAAATGTTTTCATTGTAGCGTAGTTGTGTTTAGGTATATTATTTGGCAGCAGTTCGCTTGCGTGATCTCTGTGAGCGAGTACGTCTTGATGAAAAAGGTCGTCAGCGAGCTTGGACTTTGTTTGAACACGTTTTGAGAACGGAAACTTCCCTTATGGCTGGAAGGCACTTGGATCAAAATCTGATGTGTTGTTTATATGTGGTAGCAAAAATTGGTCAGCAAAATATTTCTTTTCACGACATTATGTACCACTACCGCCATCAACCGCAAGCTGCTTCACGTGTATATCGACGAGTTATGGTGGAAAGCAATTCGTAAGCTTCTATGTAGCATGTTTGGTTTACTGAATTTTGGCTTTTATAAAGTATTCCAATTATCATAAGCTTCTAAATAGTTGGTATATTTGGTTTGCTAGATTTCGGCGTTTATAAAATATTTCAATTATCATATCTTTCTTGTAGATAAAGAAATTCCTTTTTTGAAATTTTCGACCAGAATAAATTTTCTATCTGGAAGAAAGAAAAAACATTTTGAGGAAAATTCGTCGTTTTGTCGAACTAAATTTGTAAATCTTAATAAATTTTTTAAATCTGCATTAGAAAAAATTCAGTTCACCTCCGATCATTTTGGATGATGGCGCTTCTCACGATTCTGTTGGTTCTGCATCAGATGAAAAATTTCGTTCTGAATCATCAGTTTCGGGGGCAGTGACAGGCAGTGGTGCAGCAACACCAGAACATCAAAATGTGGAATACATTGATCTCATCAAATATTACAATCAGATTTTCATTTCTCGTGTGAAATCGTTTGTGCAAAAATTACAGCCAGGATTTGCGGAGGTTAAAAACTTATTAACGGTTATTGGTATTGACCTGTTAAGATTTTTCGGGACAAAACTATATATATATACCCTGCTTCATATATTAAAAGTATACGTATACTAAAATAGTATACTAAAATCACTGGTTAACGTCAGAATTATTTCTCAAAACTTCCCTTTTCCTTCTTACCACTCTTGTTTCGTTATTTCCTACGGTTAAAACATTAATAATATTTTTATGGAGTAATTTTTCCGTATATTATCGTTTACCACTCTTGTTTCGTTATTTCCTACGGTGTAAAACATTAATAATATTTTTATGGAGTAATTTTTCCGTATATTATCGTTGCTGAAAAACTTAAGTCTAATTTAACAAAAGAAGTGTAAGGAAGAAAAAAATTCAATGCATATATCATAATATTAGTTTTACAGAGTGGTGTTTCTCTGTTATCAATTCCAATGGTTCAGTGCAATCGCTTATCACCTCAGAGAAGCGTATCTGATCGTATTACCGTTACACCAATGCCTTCTTCACTACCATCCTCACCGTCACGACCATACAGATATATCTTTGATAAGACACCAGTCAAAGTAGGTTCGAAAAATTTTTTTTGGTTTCAAACTTAGCATTTTGTTTCTTATAAGACTTCAATAATTGGCTGTAAATCAGCGTTCATGGTAAGATTTAAAAGTTGTAGATGTGGTGAAAAGGGAAGAAATTTGCAAGCAAGATTATCCAACAATAAAAGATCATGATGTCAAGGAGTTTATTAAAATTTTGTTCTTAGGTGCTCATAATTAAATGAAGCACTGCAGTGGTCAAGAAGACGAAAAGCAGTTACGTCCAACTAGAGTGTTTTTTCAACTAGGCCGAATGATCCTGACGATTTAAAATCAATTACATACTTGCTTATTTATTTATCTGCTTATGTAATAAGTAGGTTCCTCCCTTTATGCTCACCCATAAATTTTTCTGATTTAAGTTAATAAACAAATTGGCACACTCCGATTGTTGTCAGTTTAATTGAAGGTAACAGTAATTTACAACTTTTTCTCGTTGCAGGAGGAATAATTAGGTTAAGGAGTTAATTTTTGTAGATATTTCTAAATTAGAAATGTGTTTTCTGTTTAGGAACTAAATTCAATTAACCTGATAATGCATAACGCTGGTCGGACAATCCCTCAGTTGGCTTCTGGTGGTTTTCAGCAAGGTTCATATCGCAATTTGGTCGCGCGTACGATATCTTAATACTTATAGCGATATCCTGAAGAAATGGATTATAAAAGAAAAAGAAAAAGACAGATTGATCATTTGCCTAAAGAGTGTGTTCTTATTTCTCTAGGTTCTGGCAACATTCACAGTTTTATGTTCTATAAAGAAAAAAGAAATGTAAAAATTTCTAATAGTATGTGTAAGAGTAGAACGACGTTACTGATTAAAATTTTAGTATTTTCTCTCTTCATTTCGGTATTTCAACTGAGAATAAAGAGAAAGAAGATAGGGTCGCGAGGAATTCGGATGTTGTTTGTTTCAGGAATTTTCTGGATGGCAAAAGAAGGGGGCTCAGATATTTAGGAAATAAATATTGTCTGACAAATTTCAGGGAAATTTCTTGCATGATGTGTTGGAACAAAACTTGAATTTTTCGAGTTTTGTTACTGCATGTTTCATGTTTAAATGGATTATTTGCTTTAGTTTCTGGAGATCATATGTGATTTTTATGGAGAAAAGGATGCGTACAGAAAGAGTAAATTCTGTTAGGTAGTTTTCTGAATCTCAAGATCTTGTAATTCTTTTTGGGAATTTATCTTCATGTATTGGTGTCTTGTTTTGGAAACCCAAAATATAGAGAAATCGATGAGAAATCGGTAAATCGAATTCCAAAAATAAATCAATTTTAGACCTTTTGGAATTTGTTCCAATTTCAGGCTTGCATACTTTCGACTAACTTATTACTTTATATCCAGTATATACATTTCCATTTCTCGGACCTTTTTTATATTCTGCTCTATTTACCGTACTATTTGCTTTTTGTTATATATATATATATATGTGTATGTGTATTCATATGATGAAGTAATTTTTATCCAATTTTATTTTTCTAGATATGTCGAGTAAATTTTGAAGTATTCCAAAATTTCAACATCAAACACATTTCAAATCTAATTTGTGGATTAAATTCATTTTCAAAATATTAATTTACGAATTTCAAAATATCATATTAATTCTTAAGCATTAGAAGAATTGAAATGAAAGAGGAAGAGCAAAGATATGCGACAAAAGTCATAGCACAATTGGAAGGAATGTTATGACTGGCAATAACACTTCGTCTATATGCATAGCTATTTTTGGAATGGATTAGGCTACGTGACAAATATCATTTTTTTGGATAAAGATGAAGGATGGAATGGACTTGAGTACGTGACTATTGACAATTTCAAGTGATGAGTAATAGTAGTGGCAACATTCAAAGCTATCATAGGAGATGGATTGGTCGGTTGATTGGTTGGTTGCTTGATTGATTGGTTAGTTGATTGATTGATCGATTGATTGATTGATTGATTGGTTGGTTGATTGGTTGACTGATTGATTGATTGATTGATTGATTGATTGGGTTGATCGGTGGACTGATTTTGTTGGATTTTTTCGAGAGACAAGTGATTTTATTTTTAGCTGAACTCTTTTTTCAATTTAAATTCCAACTTCGATTCGAATTAATCCATAATTAGTTAAAAAAGAGAGGAAGAGGAGGGAAGTTAAAGCAACGAAATAGTTTTTTTAGGGAAATTAATTAATGAAATGTCCCATTTGTTCATAAATTGATAATCTTTGATAGTGTAAAAATGATTCATTTAATTGATAGTTAATGATATAATATCTAAAGAATAGTTCCTTCTTTCAAATTTCAAACTAGAAAAAATTTTTGGCCTCAAATTTTAAGTTCGAAATTGCAAGAAATTCTTAAACATTCCAGTTAGCTATTTGCTACGGTAAAAAAAATGGTTCAAAAGTTATAAGATTTATCGAACATTTAAAAATCATCGAGTCTCGTTTTGTTGGAAATATTTTAAAATCCTGAGAAGTCGAAAGTTGAACAAAGCATACCTTATTAATATTGTAGAAGAATGAACCAATTTTAGCCTCAATCAGAAAATCCTAATCTTTAGAATTTTTCAAAAAAATTTTTTTTCAATCCGCCAAACCTTAATTTTTGATAGGTATGTGTAGCTTGCATACAAATTTTGAAAGATTTCATTGAATTTCATTAAAACTTAATAACATCTCAAAGAATCCGTCCATTTGCTTAACCTCAATTTATGTCAAAATAGCGTGGGAAAATCATATTGATAATATAATGCTGGTAATAAGTATTGGCAATTTAAACTACTCCTGATCCTACTTTTGACTCTTCAATTACTTCACCAGACGCCTAGATAAATTATCAAACTAATATGGAAGTTGAGATAATTTGTTTTGTCAGATAGTACTAATCTTCATCGATCTTGCATGTATTAAACAGAATTAACAGTTGTTTTTCTTTTAAACAGAAATGTTTAACAGTTTTTTTTTTGCTTACATTGGTTAATCAGCGATAGATGTGTGATAGATGTGTTTTTTCTTTTTCTTTTTTTTTTTAAGATCTTTGATATATGCTTTCAAAATGTTTGAAATATTTCAAATTCGGAGTACTATTTTGGTAAGAAATTAGTATTTGGAATTAAAGTATTTTTTTTTGCTTTTTGAGTGAGAACTGACACTAATCTCTAAAACTTTCAGTTATCATAATTGAAATTATACATAATTGAAAGTTTTAGTTTCAAAATCTGAGATCTCGCACAGAACCCTTTGAAATATGTCGTTCGAAATATTGTTTAAATCCCTGAAACTGTCTTTTATTAATTAAATGGACTCAATGACGTGGTTTGTGTTTTCGTGATTTTTTTTTCTTTTTTTAACTTGTATTTCTGCGTAATACAGACACTTTTACTTCATTCTTTTTGGAATAATGGACAAATTACAAATAAAGAATCAGAATAAAGTAAAGCTCTCGGAAGAGAAACCGACGACAAGCAAAACACCTGTTGCTATTGCTCCAGAGATTCTTACATCTAAGAAAGGTAGGTGGAAGATTTTCAAGGGTTGGGAACCCTGCTTTGGAAGTTCCCAATTATTTTTTAGGACTCTTAGAAAATAATTTTCTGAAGGATTCAAGTAGACCGGTGATAGTTGAGAAATGAATCTTATATAATGAAAACTGCAAGAAATAGCATTTGGACAAATAACTTTTTTTGCATGATTTCGATGATATCTTCCTCTTTTCGTCTTATTTAGGGATTATAATGACACATCCATAAAAATTACGATCAAATCTTATTGTCTTTTGCAGATGGAAGTGAAGTGATTTCTCTCAGTCTTACCGACCAAAATCATAACAATAAACCAGGTACAAATTACAACAATCGTACTAATGGTAAGCCGAGCGGTATAGGTATAGATATCCGCAAGAAACATGCTGGTACTATTACTACTGACACCATTACAAAAACCATCACTAGTAATGATGGAGCAAAAAAAATGGGAATTTAGGCGATTATCAAGCTACGAATGATGGAGCAACAAAGGTTAGTATACGCTATGATGAGACTTTGTATCTTTCTTGAACAGGACTCAGTCGTCAGCGTTAGTGTGAATTATACTCTTGGTTGGTGGTTTTGCTTTTTCTTAAGTAAGAATCTACCACTTCCATAAATCCATAGACGTGTAATCAAATTTCGAAAGCTTGGTTTTACTAACGTTAATGGGAAGGATAGTCGGTTTGGGAAAGAAAAGAGGATAAGCATAATATTTAGAAGGCTTGTTCATTTCATAGCCATTGGATTCGATGATCGTCGATACTCAGCCGATACAGAAATCATGGCAAACAGTGATGACCGGAGCTAAAGAGTATCAGCAATACCATCATCAAGTTATGGCACACATGCTGCAGAATGGATATTCACCAACTTACGTGCAGGTTAAAATTCACAATTATTCATGACTATTAACAGATGTTGACCAATTTTATGATTTGTTTCATAGTGTTAAAGAGAAATTCTGTTTACAGTGACGTAGTACGTTCCAGATGTAACAGAAAATGTTGGAGAGATTCATTTTTCAAATTATTGCTCAGAGAGTGTTAATATATATATATATAATGAACGAGTAACTGTAAACGTTATTTTCAAAACTGCTTGCAATGCACGCAAGTCTTTGAGTTGTAGGTGAAAGTAATGATGTTTTAATATATGTACAAGGGAAAATTTTTTCCTGGATAAGAGAAAATTTTGCTGATTTTACTTCCACAAATTTCAATCCTTGATAACAGGACAAAATAAGGGTGTCACAGAAGACCAAGAGCTTTTTGTTGGAACGTGTCCCGGCAAATCTGAATGTTCACATGCCACAAAACAAGCAAAATTAATCTATAATTACAGATCATTGCATTTAAGATGATGACAGCATCTGTAGTACGATCACAAGTAACTGAAGCAAGTACTGACTTCGAAATGCGACGTGGGAAACCTTGCTACTGGAAAGGCGAATTACCACCTCGTAATTACTGTAATCCAGTGTTCTCCAGCAAAGTTTTCATTGGTGGTGTTCCGTGGGATATTACAGAACCTGCACTTCTTGACGTAAGTACTCTTGGTATAGTTACTGTCCCAATTTAAAATTCAGTCTATGAACAAACTTTCGTTCTCGTCATAAATTGGATCCACATTATTCACATATTTATCTTGTCAAAACTTCATCAGATGCTTTGTAATGTAGCATCAAAGCTGATAGGATCTTTGTACTGGAAGCTCTAAGTGAAAGGGAAGGATGCTTGTCACACGATAGCCTAATAAAGCGATTAAAAGTTACGAATGACATCATCGTAAGAATGCGAGGAATTTGACCAAAAGCTATGTACATGCCTTCTTAACACGTTTACTTCTAACTTCCGCACTAATTCCTCTTTTCTAACTTCCACTTCCAACTTCTATCCCCAACCTCTCCTAACTTTCGCAAAGATTCTTTGCAGTCATTTTCGAAATACGGTTCGTGCAGAGTAGAATGGCCTAGTAAAGAGTCGCGCCATGCACGCATAAATCCACGACGGGCCAAAATTACTGGTTACGTATATATGATTTTCGAAAATGATCTGGCGGTGAAGAAACTGTTGCAAGATTGCTCTCAAGAGTTTGGAACAGCTGGTGAATGGTATTTTAAGTTGACAGCACGACGAGCCAGTGGATTAGAAATCAGACAGGTATCCCGAAGATTTTAGCGAAAAGTCTGCTTGGATCAGTTTGTCAATTATTCCTAATTTTCAAATATTATATGATATTTATACCAGGTGCAAGTTATTCCATGGGTAATAACAGATGCCTCATATATTCTCAATCCGAATATTCCTCTGGAACCCAAGAAGACAGTATTCGTTGGAGCCTTGCATGGCATGATTACGGCACAGGTAAATTCTTTAACAAAATCAGGCCATGATAGAAAGTAGAGGAGTTGCAACAGTTACTTATTTAGCTGTTGTGAGAAAGAATTCGCTTCAGCTACTTCGTATATTGAATTCGTCTTTATTTCTATTTTATCGATTTCTGTTAAGGTTCTATTTTCCATCATGAGAGATGTCTACGGTGATGTACTTTTCGTTGGAATCGATACAGATCGTCAAAAGTATCCTATAGGTAATTCATTCATCATTTTAGAAACACGTGGCGTAATACACTAATCTGAAATTCTATACTGATAGTGTTCTTAAATGTTACCACAAAACCATATATATCGTCACAAACTTCTCCTGAAGAAATGAGTTGAATCTTTGGGAAATTATTGAGGGGAAGGATAAAAGTCCAATCGTATCGATAAGTCAGGAATTCCGTAATTGTCGGTGCAATAAATTTAAGAACAGACTGTATGCTCATTCTTGTTATGCTTTATATATGCTTACTAGTATGCTTGCTCTTATTCATGTCTAGGCAGTGCACGAGTCACGTTTTCAACTCAGTCAGCTTATTTCCGTGCGATCGAATCCGGTTATCTTGAAATTCACACTTCGAAATTCACCAAAAAAGTACAGATTGATCCATTCCTGGAAGATGCCAAATGCTCGCAGTGTGAATGTGTTCAGGGTCCATATTTTTGCCGCGAAAAAAGCTGTTTCAAGTATTTTTGTCTTCAATGTTGGGAGGTAAGGAAATTGAAAATTTCCTGATTTCTTTGTTCTTATCGGCTATACCATTTGAAAAACTATATTGCTCAAATGTTCATTCAGATTCGTGTTCCGATTTCAATTCCATTAATTTGATTAAAGGTCCGTCATGCACTGACTGGTCCGTATGGTGGCCATAAACCAATGATTCGCACACATCGTCGATCGGTGCAGTCGGAATCTTACATCTCGTACAGCGCTGCTAATTGCACTGTTTCATATGATCCACGCACCGTTGTATCGCGACAGTATTTTGGCACTGTTACATCTGAGATTGGGTATGCTATTGAAATTTTGTAGTCTTATACAGTGGTTAAATGTTGAAAACAAATTTACGCAAGAAATTGTCGAAATGGATTGGAGTCGGAGCGGACAGTTTCCGGCGTGGGTAGTCTGACAGGCTTTGATGCACGGTTGAATCTTGACAGTACAAAGGAGTGACACTGGAAATAAAATCATCTCAATGGTTTCTCTGGAAGAATTTTGTGTACAGATTCAGCTAAACTTATGCATTAATGCATATTCATGAATTCAAGTTGAAATTCTCACTCTAAATTATTTTACTTTTGATAGAAGAAGCGTATCCATTTCAGGATTCAAATGAATATACGACCGCCAATTCCTGAGCATATTACAAAAATTGCCAAACCTCCAAGTGTGAACCTGACGTTTAGACAGCCAACATATCTGTTGCCTACTTATCCCAACCAGCCTCTTAAGCAAGTGCAGGTAGGCACACCTGCAAATCAACCTCCTATCGTTTGGGTGCCACCTACAAATCAACCTCCCATCTCTTCATATGAAAGCAGGTTAAAAGCACGAACTCTAAATTCATTCCGTTGCGTTCCATGCATTGTTTCAAACTCCTCAGGCACTCGCAATGGACACGACCACAGGTAGGTGTTAAAAATTTCTTGAAAGCACGTGGGGAATTCAGAAGTTGCTAGTAAAAAATTTATTCTTGTTAATGTTAATATGTGTTAATTCTTTTTCTCATTTTTGACTTCTTAGTTTCGATTTTTTTCAAAAAAAGGTCCAAGAAAATCTGATTTAAATGATAACATGTTTGCATATTAATGTGGATTATTTCCCTAGAAAATAATTCATTTTCCTTTTTTAAATGTGGTATCAACAAAAATTGCTAATGAACAACTTTTTTTTCATTTTTTAAGTGACTCGTCTCTTCGTATGGAAAATATTGCTGACGGAACGTTATCTGCGGCGTCCATGTCATCGAGCTCTCCGAGCGTTGAAACTGTTTCAGCCAATGCTCTGTAAAAGCATTGAATATTCAAGGTTGATTTGAAAATTTATATATCGTAAAGTAGATATTTTGGTGCATTATTCTTTATTAACTTTTCTTTTTTTTCAAATTGTGTTCAAACAAATTTAAGCATTGTGTATGACAGGTTGTAAGTTTTAATTTGTTAAATACCTACTAATAAATTTATGCTTACCTAAATATTTAATGTTTCTCTTCTCTGACTTTTGATTATAAGGCTTTGTTCTGAATGTATTAGAATGGAAAAAATGTCAAAGCTTCCTATAGAATATGCATCATAATGAGTTAGACGGTTGTTCTCTCATAGTTGATTGAATACGATGCGTTTTGAAGTGAATGTCTAAATTGTGTATGTGTTATCCATAATTATGTAAAACATTCTGGAATTTGTCATTTTCGGAATTTGTGTGTTGAAATTGTAATCTTAACAATTTTGAAAGTTCTATTTGTAAAAATCTTCTAATTGTATTGAAATCTGAATTTTCTCTTTTTTTTTATCCCAATTTTATTTGTTTTCTCCTTCCTTTCCTCCTCGCTGTTCTCATCAAAGAGCAGTTGTATCCGCAAATTGTTTTTGATTTCCTCTGAGCAGAAAAATTTTGGATTTGGGAACATCTGCTATGATAGCATCTATAGAGTGCGAATAATTTTAATTGGCCTTGTAAAACAGGTAGTTTTTTTCCCGTTACTAAACATTTTTTTCACATGAGATTTCAAGCTTGTTCATGTTTGATCCCCCTGCCATCTTTTTTTTTTCCATTTCCCTATGAAATACTTATGTTGAAGATGTCACGCTAGACATCATAAGAATAAGATCGTTTTCATAAGATGCAACACAATTTGAGTATATTTCCACTGATAAGAATAAATCATGTAGCGTGAAATAGCGTCAGTCTTCCACTTAAAGCAGTTGAAATTTTAGCATAATGTTATGTGTGATGCTGAACTGGTTTGTTTCCACTACATATATTTGATTTAAGATTATTGAGGCTTATAGTTTTGAATTCTTTACAAGTCGGTCACTATCCCGAGCTTTCATATGTCTTTTCCTCTTTTATCATCAAGCTGGTTGGGTTTTCTTGATTAGTGGTTTGAGTTTGATTATTGAGGGCTAACTAGTGTATTCGGGTTCAAGGTTCTAAAAAGTTTTTCTGGACTTCCTTTTAAAATCTTCAGGCTATTGTGACGTCATCGTTGTTTGGCTATATTCATTGGTGTTCGTGGTTTACGAAAAGTGATCCTTCGGTTTTCAAATGGGGCTGGATGACTAATTTTGATTATTAGTTCCAGGTTTGTTGTAAGGCTAGAATATGATGTGAAAATAGGATACTGCATGATACAATAAGTAGAAATAATGATAATAATAATATTAGTAATAATAATAGTATGACCAACACACTGCCTTCTAGTGGTTTTGTGAAATCCAGCGGTCAGAGACACTTAGATTAGAGTTGCGCAGTTGCCTGTTGTAATTGGTGTAATTTTTTTGCTTAAGTGGACAACACACTAATTACATTCTGACTTGACTGTTTTATTAATGTTGTAATTATGTGTTATATTTATTGTCAGTGCGATATTTTATTTAGTCAAAATTGTGAATACATTTATTTATTTGTTAAGAGACAATTTTCATGTCCTTTAAGTTGACGATATTGTATCATAAAAAGTTATCTACGTTTTAACAAACATCGTTTGTTTCAGTTTGTTATTTTATCGGTTGTTTAACCAACGTTATTTTTTGCTATATACAAAATTGTGCACTTGTTACATCCATAATACTGCATCCATATTATTGCTATTGGAAGCAGTAATACGATCTGTTGATGTTCTGCTTTTGAAAGTTTCCGCATAAAGTTCATTCATGTTGACGATGATGGTGTTTCTTGCTTTGTTGTCGTTTTTCTTTCACAAATAAGAAGACGCTAAATGTTAAGATTACAATATATATCGAATGAAGGAAAAAAATTGACAACGTTTAAGGACTGGTTTTATTTTAGCTCTTCCTGAAATTTAGTGAGAATTCTTTGCACGATGTTTATTTTGATACTTCAATTCTGGTTGAATAGAAGATACTTTTGATACTTCCATTTTTGGTTCGTTTCATCTATTCCTCCTCTCGCATTATTCATGATAATGTTAGCTTGATCATATTCCTTTAACACTATTCAACTAATCTTCGCATGCTATCACAATGGATGAGCATCATTGATAATCAGCATGATCGACGATTGGACGATTGCTATTTGATCAACTTATCATATTCTTGTTGGATTATAAGTATCTCTCAGTAACAGTAATATTTGTGATCATTTACCTCACTTATTTGATTTTATCTGAATTGTTAAATTCTAACAAATTAAGATCAAATTGGAGGAAAATGAAATCATACAAAGCCAGCTAAATATTTATCAAAACAATTTTCCCTTGTTTATTTATTTTATTTAATTTTTTGTATTCCCTCATTCTTATGTATTAAATTTAGTTAATTGTTTCTTAAATTTTTTAATTATAATTAATATTTGAAAGAATTTCAAATTTCCAAAAAATTTTCAGGATTTCAAAGGGAAATTTGAAAATTTAATAAATTCCAACGACAAAAAAGTTATTTCAAAATTTTCCCCTACTGATTAAATTAAATTATTTGCCTAATAGCTGGTTAAAAAAAAAAAAGAAAATAAAAAGAAAAAAGAGAGAGAACGATGATTAAAAACTTGACAAATTTCAAAGACAAAAGAAAAATTTAATTTTACCCTTACGAATTAAATTAAATTAATTGCTAAATAGTTGGTTAAAAAAGAAAGAAAAGAAAACGATGATTAATGTTATACAGTGGTATGTTTCTTTTTATTTTCATGATCGTGTAATCGTTTTTACCGAAACATAGATTTATAAAAGTGATAAGGTTTGCCAAAAGAAGAGCATTTAGATATTAACAAATGATAAACACATGTCAAAAATTGTTCCTGTTAACGATGATAATAAATGATAATGATGATGAATCGGTTAAAATAGATCTAACAACAATAACGATATATTGACAATTTGGTCACGTTGATGATGATGATGATAATGATGATTATTAATAGAATTGACTGGTTTTTATCAGCCAATAACAATCTATTTGAACAAATAGGGACATGATACGGAGATTATTATCAGAATACCATAGCATTCATTGTAAAGATGTATATTTGATTACAAACAAAAATATATTATTGATCGTGATCCTTAAACTTATATTCATTATAATCTATACATATGACCTTTGAAATTACATTTGATCATTAAATCAATCTCTCTCTCCCTCTCTCTCTCTCTCTCTCTCTGCCTCTTCTTTCTGTCCCCTTCTCTCCTTCCCTCTTTCTAAGATTACATTTTTATTCATATAAAATTGAATACATGAATAAAACGGGAGGAATTAATTCGAAAATAATAAAATTGATATAATTATTTAATTTCATATATATATGTAAATCACTTTCCCAATTTATATTTTTATTTATGTAAAGTTAAGAGTTGAAAAAATTAATTAAAATTAGAAAATTAAAATTGATATGAATTATTTAATTTCACATATATAATATATATATATATATATATATATATATATATATATATATATATATATATATATAATA